CCCCCCCCCCCGGAGAAAAAAGTCTGTAAGACACACTGGTCGATACACCATCTATCATATACAGAAACTTGGCATACAAATCTAAATAAGCTTACTAAAAGGCAAGGTACATTTTATTCAGTCGTTTACATCAGGGGTCTCCAAACTTTTCAGTCCGAGGGCCGCATTAACTATCAAATTTCAGTTCGGGGGCCAGTTTCGTCCAGGCATGTCTTTCATTTTTCTGGGCAAGGTTCCTCAGCCATCAGCAACAAACGTTTTTTTCCGTGGACAAAAAGATCTCCGCGAGCCGGATGAGAGGACATCGCGGGCCGCATCCGGCCCGCGGGCCGTAGTTTGGAGACCCCTGGAGACACCATTGTACTGTCATACTTGTTTAAAGCCTCTAATGTAGATAAGTCAAATGCGAATTATTATTTATGATACAACGTATAGGGTAAATATAAACGTTAAACATAGTTCAAATGGGCTGGCTTTGTTTTACTTACTGTAATTGCTACTAATTTTAAATTTAAATGCGAGCATAAAACTTATTTAATTTATTGGATGTAGGCATATTTGCAATGTTTCTTCTTCTTCGTTGTTAGTGTTGGAAGCACAATTAAGTATACGTGTCATTTCAGCCTGATTTTCTTTTTTTAATTATTTCATTTTAATTAAAACATTGCGCGAAGTATCGTTGTGGTCGAGTCGGGTAAAGCTCATAGTTGCTATACCGAAAAGACTCGAGTTCGAACCCTAGGGTAGATGAGGCTCGTTAGCTGGGTACAGCCAGTCTACTAGGAGAGACAACTCCAAAATTAAACAACTGCGTCCTAAGTTGCATCTCTTTTATCTGTGTCCGCTTCACCCCCCTCCCCTCCTGAAAATTGCAAGTTACCCCCGGAGAAAAAAATGTTTGAAAGAAACACTGTTTGCATGGATGGATTTGTTTACACCGCGATTACACTTGCGATATGAACACTTCTCATGTCCAGGGAAGAAAACTTGATTCAACTAAATGTATCTTACACGTTCCGAAAAATAATTTCATATAACTTTATCTTTTCGTGATTTGTTTCCCCTAGACACGTATAGTAAACATATCGCAAATGTAAAAGCTGTATCATAGAGAAAAAAAATTATATACATAAACTTTTACAGATGATGTTTTCAAACCTAGTCACCGCAATTATTTTTCTGGGCTATTTTGTATTTGCTAAAAGCAAGCGGTTCTGGTTCTCAAAGACGCCCCCGACGTGTTTCATCGTACTAATGTCTTCTGTGATTTCTGGTGCTTGCTCTACCCTTTTGAAAGAACACCCGCAGGCTTCTGACCTTACACACAGCGATTCCCTTTTCTCGAAAAATCCTAGGAAATTTGCCAGCAAAACTGATCTCACGAATAGTTATTCTGAATACAAGAGCCGGAGTTTGAAAGGTTATAACGAGTTGTATAAAATAAAAGACATTTTTCTCTGTGAACCGTGTGTGTGTTGCCGTATCAGTTTTTCTTTGACAAGCGCGACGTGTCAGTCAAACGGTGCTTTAAACATGTCCACAATACCAGCCAACCTGCCGAGAAACATAAACACACTGTACGTTAAATTATCAGATATTACTGCATTCAATGCACCCGAACTTTTACCTTATTTAAACATAACATCGGTCTGTATGAATAAAAACTCAAAACTATACCGAATTAATTCCAACAATGTCACTTCAGAGAAATCGTCTTTACTCATTCTAGATTTGGGTGATAATAATATTATAATTATCGAGGAAAATAGTTTTAAAACGTTTTCGAACTTGAATACATTATCTTTATCTAGAAACCAGATTGCATCTATCACGCAATCTATGTTGAATGGTCTCGACAGTTTGAAAGTGTTAAACTTTTCAAAAAACCAACTATTATTTTTAGAAAATTCAACCTTCGACCACATGAAAACGCCTGAAGTTCTTGACTTAAGTCAAAATTCAAGGTTAGGGTACATGTCGAAACATTTACCCCTGGGCGTATTTTCTAGCCTGCAAAATTTGAACATAATTTTTATCGAAGGTAATGCTCAAAAGGGAGATGAATATCCAAACATGGTTCTACAACATCTGAAAAATCTGGCACTTCTATTCTAAGCGTCGACGGGATAAATTCTTTATTAAGTGCTGCAAAGAACTCTTTAAACCGACAAAAGTCGATTTTGGTTTGACACCATTCATCCGATCGCCATCAAACTTTGGTGAGTTCATTAGAACAATCTGGGGAAGGGTTCTGTAAAAAAAATAATTTTTAATTTCACAAGGGCGGTGCCACGGGAGGTTGCGCTTTTTCTCAATATCCGGTATATAAAAATAATAAAAGTGAAAATTGCAGTGACACCGTGCACACGATCGCCATGAAACTTTGGGAAGATGTTGAAAATATTCCTGGGGAGGTTTCTGCGTTAAAACATTTTCAAATTTGCACGGGTGGCGCCCCGACAGGGCGCGATTTGGTTTTTTTCTTTATAACGGTATATATAAATAAAAGTCGATTTTGGTTTGACAGGGTTCATCCGATAGCCATGAGACTTTGGGGAGAACACTCTAGGAAAAGGTTCTTTAAAAAACATTTTCAATTTCGCAAGAGGGTGCGATTTTTCTCTATATACAGTATATAAAAATAATAAAAGTGAAATGCAGTAATACCGTTCACATGATCGCCATGAAACTTTGGGAAGATGCTGAGAATACTCCCGGAGAGGTTTCTGCGCAAAAAAAAAAAAAAACATTTTCAAATTCGCAGGGGCTGCGCCCCGGGAGGGTTCAATTTTTCTCTATATACGGTATATAAAATTAAAGTCGATTTTGGTTTGACACCGTTCATCCGATAGCCATGAGACTTTGGGGAGTTCATTAGAACATTACCTGGAAGGGTTCTGCAATTTTTTTTTTTTAATTTCGCAAGGGCGGCACCACGGGAGGATGCGATTTTTCTCTACATACAGTATATAAAAATAAAAGTCGATTGCGGTTCGACACAGTTTATCGGGGTGTCTTAAAACTTTGGGGAGTTGATGAATACTACCGAGAGGGTTTCTGGGGTGGGAGAGGGGGTGGGTGGTGGTGGGAGGGGGTATTTAATTGTAGGATGCGATTTGGCGCCCTGGTCTTTCCCGTGAGCGCTATGGTGAATACGTTCGGTCGAAACAGTGTGATATACAATGGATAGGATGGGGCGTTACAAGCTCTCACTAAATTGAATCAGGCGTGTCTGCCGGCGCCCTGGTAGGGTGCGATTTGGCTGCAAACAAAAATTTCAGTTTCGGCTCCCAAAGGCTCGCATGGGCCGCTGAGGGTCATGTAATACGTTTTATTTTAATAATCAGAAAAATTAACCAAGGTTAGATTATTAACTGGGATGTTTCTTTTTATCCGTAAAAAAAAACCAAACAGTTTCGTCCCTTTGAGAATGATGCAATTAGCATCTATTTTTAGACAAATCAATCAGAAATTGAGATCGAGCATCTAATAATAGACCATTAGTAACATATTACATCAGTCATGCTGATGTTTAAATCACATTAAATAATTTTTTTTTTACATATTAAAAAAAAATTCCTGTCATTTCTGTCACTTTAGAGAATGACGCAGCGCCTATGCGATAGTGTAATGAGGGGAGGGGGGGGGGGGCTCTTTAGAGCGCCCTTCTACGTCCTGACACATGGGCGGTCACAGAAGTGTGTTCTACCTCATTATTTCGGTGAGTGATTAACGTACACTCAAAGTTTTCATGTGGTAGTGTAGGTAAACCCGTGTCACGATATTTATGATCCAAGCGTAGGCATTGTTTACATTTAAATAGCTCACTTTTAGAAAACAAGATCATGCGTCTAAGAACATAGGATTGGTAACGCCTGGATGAAACCCTTCTTATATCTATATTTCGTCGGACTTTCTTCTATTCCCGCGGCTACGCGCGGCGGCGGGTACGCTAGTATTTTATAAAACCGCCCTCAACCCCAACTTGCACTGAACTGAAGTGGCCAGGGAGAGTAATACGATGAAAGTCATAACATAGGCTAACGGATAAGGTAATCGAATAAACAAAAAGGCGAATAGGGGAATATTTTCAATTATTTCAGTTCGATTCAGGCTATAAAAAAACGTATGTAGATCTAGATCTAGATCTAGATCTAGAATCTAGCTAGATCTAGATCTATTGGGCTTGTAAGTTGTTAAAGTAGCTTACCAAGTTCTCGCTCCGGTAGTTGCCAGCTGGCGTTTTTTTTTGTTTTTTCAAACCAAATGTGAATATTTTTTATTTATTTTTTTTTAAGTTATGAAATCTACTTTCGTTTTTGGAATAAAAAAAACTCAGACAATAAGTTGTTTTAAGTAAATTAAGTTTAAAATAACACACACACACAAATATATTATATTTTATATAGATCTAGAATACAACCTGTATAATAATAATACATCTATAATCTATATAAAATATGATATTTATAGGCCTAAAAGATTTCAATCGTAAATCTGAAATCAAGCCTAATTTAATTAATAAATATATAGCCTAGATCTAGAGTCTAGATTTCTAGATCTAGAATTCTATATCTAGATCTATGACTTAAAAAAACCCTCTTGAAAATTCCGACTTAGACAGTAACATACGACATACAGGATTTATTTTTAATTTATAGACTCAAGAGTAGTCTAGAGATCTAGATTCTAGATCTAGTTTCTTTTATTTTACAGTGTAGTTGAGTGGAATTAATTACTAAATTACTAAATAGGCTATTTACTTTAAGACAGGTAGACTAGAATATGTTCAATATCAATTTATATATAGAATCTAGATTATTCTAGATCTAGCGAAGTTTAGTGTAGTCTTGTTGTAGAACTTAAGAACTAAATCTAGAATGTAGGCAACTGTAGTAATTTAGATCTAGAATCTAGTACTGTGTGACGTCATTTTAGGGGGTGGGGGTCTGGCTTTTTGTGACGATGTGTAGGGGGAGGGGGGGGGAGGTTAAAATCGTCAAAAAAATGCGTGACGTCATTTATAGATGACCCCCATGGAGAAGATCCACACAGAAACAGTTGAAGGAAAGGGGCCTAACATTCAAACAGGTAGAGGTACCAACATGATTTTAGAGATTATATAGATATACATATATATAGGGGGAGGGGTAGAAAGAGAGAGGGTTCATCTGTAAATTGCATCACACATTTTATGATGATTTTTACCTCCCCCTCATAAAGGAGGGCAGTAAAAAGAAGAATGTATGATAGCTGGGTAATCCTAATTTATATAATCAGATTATTGTGGTAAATAAAAGTCAACATATCTAGCCTAACAAAATGCCATGAATTTAAAATATATATTATGACTTAGAGAAAGTTTGGTGAAATGGAAATATCTGCAAATTTGATTTATTGATGATGTGTAACTTGTTTATATTATTCCTTTGGAGCTGATATTAATAAAAAGTTAATGAAATTATAGAGTTTTATCCAATTGATGTTTCTAAAGCCTTGCATGAGCTTAATTTAAATATATTTAGCTGCCCAGGCAAAGAACCCAATGAATTTTCCAGAATTGGCTTGTCGTTTGACCGATGGTAACAAAGAGAATCACCCAGGATCTTCGCTGATAAGAAAATCTGAAGACATACCTTATTCTTCTATATCTAAATGTGATTTGTCTAATGAAAATATTTATTCAGTGACAATTGCTAAAGATATTTTACCATTATTTCAAACATCATCTTCTGAAATGTTGTTTTCTATCTCTAAACCTTCCACAATTTCTTCAAGTTTCAAGAGATATTTTAACATCATTGCCTACTTCCCACAGTTCTTATGTTCAAAATTTGCAATTTTCTGAGAAACAAAGTAATAATAAATTTGTACCCAGTGGTTTAGTTTCAGCTCCATTAAAATTTAATAAACCAATCAATTTCAAAATTAAATGTTTCTTATCCCATATGAAAGTAGTCTGTTTTTTTATTTAAGAAAAATCACCTTTAAAAAAATTTAATGTTTGAATGTCAATAAATTGTTGACATGGACTGGTTTGCGGGTAAGCTTTTATACTTAGTGTACAATAAAGATTCAGTTTTGATGTCAATATAGTTGCTTCTGAAAGAATTAAACTATAAACAATAGCATTTATATTAATATCTCAATGGCAGTTCAGTATACTTTCATCATTGTTTTCAAATAACAAAACAGAACTACAGTTTTAAAATTGAAAAAAAAAAATGAAAATAATTTCATAAATGGATGGTTTTTTAATTACTTAAAATAGAAGATGCATCAATACAGCATTACAATGTATATGATTAATATTTCTTTTCATGGACAATCATCATTTAAATTCTTCATTAAAAGTTAAATTCAGCTTCCTTGTGTCTAAAAATCCACATCCATGCTGTTCCATTTACCTAGAAATTAAATAAATAATATTTTTAACAACTTTCTGTAATATGAAAAAATTATTAATCATTGATTAAAACAGACAGCCAATATAGCAGTTGAATTAAAATTCACCTGTTTCTGTGACATTTGCATGTAAAATTAGAGTGTTCAGAGCCACCTTTAATTTCCCTATCTTGAGCCAGGTACTCATGAGAGCTGGTACTCATGAGACTTAGGACATCATACCAGGACTAAAACCAGGGATCTGAACTCTTATCTTTTAGGATAGAAATGTGAAAGCTACTGTCTGACAGTCCCACTATCAAGCCATACATATTAATACTTACAGTATATAATCTTAGTAGCAACATATTCTTTAAGAATTAGAACACTGAATCGATTTCAAACTTGGGCTTAAGCTGAAAAATGGCTTATTATAAAAAAAAAATTCAGCTCACCTTTAGTTCAAGATCAGCACCAATAGCCACAGTAAAGTGTGAGAAAATTGCTTGCCAAGTACCTAGGGAATTTAAATATAATAAATTATTAAGTTTATCCATATATTATATTAAAATAATTATTTAACTAATATGAGATATTAATATATATATATATATATATATATATATATATATATATATATATATATATATATATATATATATATATATATATATATATTTATATTTATAAAAGGTTTAATTTATTGTAAAGGTTCAGTTTTCTATCTACTTAGCTTGTCTTAAAAACTAAAATATCTGGTTTACAGTTAACCATATCTTAACTATTACAAAACTATTAGTTTCATTTTCATTACTTGTAACTAAAAATTGTAGTCAATAGATCTGAAACTTAATTCTATTAACAGCTAACTGTAACCATACTGACTCTGACCAATTTATTAATTTTTGTACCCTGTAATTCATTAATAATTAGGCTTATACTAAAAGGCCGAAAGTTATCAATTGTAGATTTTATAGTCCCTGGTCTAGACTAACAAGACTAGCCTACAAGTCTAATAGTACTAATACACATGATCTAGTTTATAAGTTTACTACTAGGCAACTTGCTAGAAGACTAGTACTTAACCAAACTTTAACTTGCTAAAAATAAAAGGGCCTAATACAATAATAGATGGCCTAGTAATACTTTTTTTTTACTGTGCTACTTACACTGCTTTTGGTACTATTACTATGACTAACTAACTACTAACTAAACTCTATTGTAGCTTGATGGAGATCTATCATCTTGCTCTTCTAGTAGTCTACACTACTTACTACTTAGAAAAGTAGTAGCACTACTGTAACAATTTCAAACTAAATTTAATCTATATATTACTTGATCTAGATCTACTCATTGCAACACTGTAGTCTGATAAGTCTGTAAGCCCTAAATGTATCTAGACCTAGATCTAGATTCTAGTCTAATTTAGTTTCAGTCTAGTTATTAGTACCTACACTCTACAATGTAACAATAGTCTACAGTACTCTACACTACACTCTACTACTACTCTAATCACTCTACTGGCTACTGATCTAGATCTAGTAAATAGCTAGAGTAGATCTAGTCTAGATTCTAGATTTAAAAAAATTAATTTAAAATTAAAAACAGGTTAGCCTTACTAATACTAGTACTAGGCATTACTAGCTCTTACTAAACTTAACTAGGGTAGGTTTTACCTAAACTAGATCTAATCTAGATCTAGAATCTATCTAGATTTAGATCTACTAGATTCTCTAGATCTAGATTTTAGATCTAGGGCCTACCATACTACCATCTGCAACTAGAATCTAGATCTATTCTACTATCTCTATCTAGATCTAGTAATACTATCTATTAGGCCGTTCGAATTCACAGCTTCCGGGTTTGTTGTTTTGAAGCCATCTCACGGCTCATGCGCTTACCAAAAATGGCGACCAGTTTCGCTTTCACTAATGGGTAGAGGGATAAAACTAATGATTACGAAGCCATCGTTAATTTTAGACATCGGAACTATCCGTTTCTATTTAAGTCTGTTGTTTAAGAATTGTCGGATCTACTTTTGGCCTAATTTCTTTGTTTGTATTTAACGAGGCCGTCGAGAGAAAGTCACGCTTATTTAGCTTGCGTTTCAAGTCGAATTAACTAAAGCAGGTGCGCTCGACAATAACTTTTTTATTTTTTACAATTTTTATAACATCTTTACTATCAAATAAAAATTGAATTGTTTAATGAAATTAGGGTGAAAACAATACATTTGAGGGTGTAAGTGATCACCCCTCAATAATGCCATTTTATTATATTCTTGTTTGGTGAAAACGAGGCGCGGGAAAATGTGTGCCGCGCAAGAATCCAATCATTTGGCTAGATTTATGACTGTTTTTTATGTCATACCTAAAAATAGAATGTTTACGCTTTCTTCGTTGATGATCGTTTTTATTATTTTTTAAATTGAAAGTATGAATTATTAGTTAGATTGCGGATTTTGTAACTTGGTATACTTACCTTTTATCAATTTAAAAAACATAGCATGCTAATTGTGAACAAATATAGTCATAAAACACAGAAATATAAAGTTATAATTGCGATGTGCCACACCCGGGCCACACCCCCTCAAGAAAGCATGTGTTTATTAAGCTGTTTATCTCACTTTACAACAGTAATTAAAATTAATTTTCAAATTTTTATCACTTATTGGGTAAGATTAAGCACATGTTTACCAAAAATAAAAATAAAACAAAAGCAAATTCTGTTTTAATGAAGGTCACGGGTGAAGTTTTTTTTTCCTTCTGTCACGTTCAGTGGAGGGTGCCACAGGCTGACCTGACTTTGGAATTTTTTTCAGTAATAATGACTTTGCACAGAAAGTTAAAATATGCTAAATTAGCTTAGTTTACTAGTGTTCTAGCTATTATTGATACATTTTTAATAAAAAAATCATTCTGTAATTCTCATCAAACAGCCTACTATCTATCTACTATCTAGCCATCTATCTACAAGCTACTTCAAATAACTAATAGATCTATATAATAGTATTAATAGGCCTACTTCTAAAATATTAAACAGTAATCACTGAGTAATCAGTACTAGAGTCTAGTTCAGTAATCTAGCTAGATCTAGATCTAGATCTAGATCTAGATTCGATTAATAAGTACTACTTATTAATCGAATCTAGATCTAGATCTAGATCTAGATCTAGCTAGATTACTGAACTAGACTCTAGTACTGATTACTCAGTGATTACTGTTTAATATTTTTAAGTAGAATCTAGATATCTAAGTCGTAGGCTGAGTGAGACTGGAAGTCATCCTCATTTTCCTGTTGTTTTAGTTTTTACTTTTTACCGTCATCCTTTTCTTAATATTTTTAATATTTTATCTAGATCACTAAAATACTAGATCTAGAATCTAGATCTAATATATTCTAATTCATGAACTTATACTCTTACTTAGAACTAGATCTAGATTAAAGCAATGTAGATCTTAGTAGGTAGATTCTAGAATCATCTAGATCTAGATCTAGATCTAGGTCTAGGTCTGGGAATCTTGTCTCGTAGCAAAGACTGAGTAGAGTCAGAGTAATGTCCCCTAGCCTTGGGTTATCAACAAAAGAAATAAAATCAATATACTTACCGCCACAAAACTTTTATATTCAAAAATGCATACACATGTGTTTGTTCCCATCCATATGAACAAAACAGCGTTGAAAGTTTTTACAGTTGTTGCATTTCTGGAACGTTTGATGATTTTGAAATCTTGAAGCGGGACCTACTAACAAATAGCCGCCATGTTTTTTGTTATCAATGGGAAACCCCGTTCACAACAATTGATTTAGTTCGAAAACTTTTATCTCTCCCTGGCTAACCAGACACGAATTAACGCGAGAAAGAACGATAAACTTACAAGTTCTATACCCTTTCATTACAGTTGGCTTATTTTGTTATGACTGTTATGCTCAGATTATTAAGATCTAACATTATTAACATTATTCTTATTAATTGTTACCTTTTTAAAAGTGTTTTTTAACGCAAGTTTCATAAGATAATTATTAATTTAATAATTTTTGTTAGGCCTGCTCTTCTAGATCTAGATCTAGAATCTAGATCTAGTCTAGATCTAGATCTAGAGTCTAGATCTAAACCTAGATCTAGAGTCTAGATCTAGAGTCTAGAATCTAGATCTAGAGTCTAGATCTAGATCTAGATTTCTAGATCTAAAAATCTAGATCTAGATTAGATCTAGATCTAGAATCTACGCCATGCTAGGCCTAGTCTAGCTATCTAGAATCTAGATCTAGAATCTAGATCTAGATCTAGAATACATCTAGATCTAGTCATCTAGATTTTAGATGTAGATCTACTAGTCTAGATCTAGATCTAGAAAATCTAGATCTAGATTAGATCTTGTACTAGAAGATCTAGATTCTAGATCTAGATTAGTATGCTACGGCTTTTTAATAATAATATGTTTAATTAATTAGTAATTAGAGGAGTTTACACTTTTCGGACACACACCAAAAATTACGTAGGAGCGAACACTTCGTCGGTTTTTGCTCATAGAAACTTTAATTAGCATGTCTCACGCGAAACCACGGCGCCTGCACATAAACTGTTCATTTATGAACACTTCCGTGTCAAGTACTTCCGTTTCCTTTCTCAAGAATTATTTTTAGAAATTTTTTAACGTTGCATGGTACGCACATTTCTATTTTTACACCAGCCGGATGAAGTGACCTAGGGTTGGACTTAGGGGCAAAACTTGAACCAATCAATGCTTAGCTAAAAGGTTACACTATAAATAGCTTCTATATATGTATGGAACATCGTAAATGTCAAGGTTAATGGGTTTTTTTTGTGCTTGAACAATAAAAAAGGGGTGTTCGCTAACTTATTTGGCCTTACATGGGACCGGACAGCAACACAAAAATATTAAATAAGAATTTAGAGCATAAAAGGGGCTGGTTATTGAAGGGAAAGGGTCAAAATAAGGTCAAGAAGGCATTGGAATGCGAAAGAGGAGGGGGAATCATGTGACCTGGCTGGCTTAGCAGCGTACTGCGCGAGCCGCAATGGCTGAATGGGATGAACTTTGGGAGTGTGGGAAAAAGGTTTTATACTATTAAAATTACCTCACAAACAATCAATAACACAATATAAATGCATATAATATATGTTTTTATTCATTAAATTGACTTTAAATTATTCTAAATGAACAAAAAGTGCTATGTCCGATGACGGGTAAAGGTGTCCGAACACATGTAAAACTGTATTACATGTGTTCGAACACACGTTAAGACCCCCCAGTCACTATAACAAGAATAGCTTAAGTTCTATGCGTATGAATACAAAATGACACACACATTATTAAAGTAGAATGGTTGCGGATAGATATGATACTTTTTTTTGTTTTCTATGTTAAGCGGTTACTGAATGAGACCGCATGGAATTTTTACGTTGCGTTTTTTCGCTATGTGTGTCCGAAAAGTGTAAGCTCCTCTACTAATTAGGCCTAATTATTAAATAAATATTAAATAATTTTTAATATAAAAATACTAGAGATCTAGATCTAGTCTAGATCTAGATCTAGCTATTACTTAGATATCTAGATCTAGAAATCTAGATCTATTGAAAATCTATTCAACTATTTTAATTTGACATTTTTAGTTAAGACTTAATTAAGATAAACTTATTAATTTATTAAAACTTAATTCTTAAAACTAGATTTCCAACTAGATTCTAGAATCTAGATCTTTAGATTTTATAGAGAATAAAAATAAAGTATTTAGATCTAGATCTATCTAGATCTATTAAAAGTTAAAAGTAGTTAGAATCTAATCTAGATCTAGAATCTAGTTAGTTAGCTAAGGAACTTAGCACTAGATTTCTAAATAATAAATAATATTACTTAATACTAGATCTAGATCTATAATCTATACTATAGTTATAGGCATAGGGGAGGCCCTATCGCCTATCAGTATTAAATTATCTATTAAGTTGATCTTGACTAGATTGACTTAATTAAAGATCATCTGTTAAAAAATTATCAGACAATTATTTTGTAGGCCAATATGTGAAAGTTCTAGATCTAGATCTATATTAATTTAATTTTAATAGTTAATACTTCTTAAATTACTAGATCTGTACAAATTAATACATTTTATTTAGTATAATTTAGGCTATGGTACTGATGAATACTTCAAGTTAAATCAGCTGATCATACACTATTCTCAACGACACTGTCGTTGAGACGCATGGGGTGGTTAAATTATTATTATGAATTAGAACCTAGTTAGAGGTAATTAGTAAATTACTAATTAATTAGTAAATTACTAATTTGACTTAGGATAACTTATGTTGGTCTAATAACTAGTAGATTCAAATTTAATAGCAGTATATAGATCTAGGCTTAGAATAATATTGTAAAATAATAAGTATGCTTAATTTTTAAAGTTGTCATATTAATTTTAGTTTTAGTAGGCCTATGTATGTAGACTGTAGATTTAGATGTAGTAGCTTAGTAGTAGTCTAGTAGGCCTGTGATAGCACAGGCAGTTAGTATTAGTAATTAGTATGTAAGTTTTACAAATTCAACTACTATAACTAGGCTTAATAAGGCTACAATTTTAAACTGTGTAAAGTAACATTACATGCTAGCCACCTCAAGAATTAGTTGAAAATTGATATTCAAACTAGGCTACCAAAACTATCATCAATCCATACACCTAGTAGAATAAATATTAGGATAATTATATTGATTTGATTAGTAAGTAAATCCATCTATTCTATGACAATTGACACCTTTTGGCTTAATTAACTATTCTGCATAAGTTCAAAAGATCACTACAGGAGACTAAAAATAGACTCAGCCATATATTAATTAAGTAGAACTAAAATAAGACAGCTCTTCACCAGTAAGCCTCCTCTTCTATTCAGTAATTTTTACAATTATTAACTAATATAGATTAAACTTAAATTTTGAATATTATTTAATGAACTAGTCTGTAACCTTTTATTTAGGCTGCATGTTACATTTGACAAAACAGTCTAATCAAGTCTCATCTGAACTTTAAAAAAAAATTAGCAATGTCTTCTTCTGGACCGCCTTTGCCAGATCCACTAGATCTACCTCCTCTTGACAGACAAAATTTAAATTACCCCATTGAGACACAAGGGACTTCAAGACAAGATGAAGCTCTTAAGTTTTGGGCAGTGAGTATGTAGTACTAACTCTAAAAAAAATTAACCGCTTAAATATATTTACAATCTATATGAGTATGTGTAGAGTGCAGCTATAGGCAATGTTATTATACTACTCTAGGGCCTACTTGATTATCAAATTAATAACTTTTACAGTAAAAAATAGTCTTATAATATAAGACGATAAGTAGTAGATCTAGTTAGTTAGGCAGCCTATAGAGTATAGATCTAGTTTTGATTTTTGATATATCAAAATCAGGTTGTTTCAACTCTACGATTTTGTAAATTATTTGATATATTAATTTCAGGTGTTACAAGAATGTGATATTGAAAGCTTTTACAAAAGAGGTAACTATTTAAAAGGAAAAAAAGATGTTTGAATTTTATTTAGGCTCTTAGTAATTAGTTAACAGAAAAATACATTTTAACTGCATACTGCATACATAAATTCTCAAAACTTCTACATTATTTTGATTGGAAATGACAATCTTTGGGCAATGTGGTATAAACTAACACAACTATTTGTTTTAAAGCTCTACCTGCATCAGTTGGTGCCATGGCTGCTACCTTCTTGATGGTGAAAAGTGGTATGTGGATTTTACTATTAAAATTAAAACATTTTAACATTATTTAGGCCTAATATTGGTTAAATTTACCAACTGACTTTTGAAAATATAAATGAATCTCTCATCACAATTGACAAATTATTTTTATCTCTTACTCTTAGGAAGATGGTCTGCACATCCAAAATATGGATCTCTATTTAAAGTCATTAGTAAGATTTTAAATATACTTTTCACATGTGTAAACATCATACATTTTCTGAAATAAATGTAAACATTACTCCTTTGTTGTTGGTAGGTTTTAACTAATTGTTTTATATTTTCTACAGATGCTGGTTTTGTTGGCCATTTTATTGGTAAAGTGTCGTACCTGCCTGAATGTCAGCAGAAAATTCTTACTAAATTGCCAAACTCCGACTTGGCAGCTCGTATCAGGAAGTCAAAGGGTTTGCCAGACCCAGAACAACAGTAAAGATTATGATAATTATTAATAATGATCATTTGAATGATTAATTAAAATATTTCCAAATAAGGATTCTAATTATAATAGTTGAATACTGGATAAAAATTTTTTTTTTTTATTTAACCCTTTCCCCGGCGACTGGGTGTAATCGACCCGAAGTCGCTATATTTTTGCTCATATCTCGAGTCTCGTTTTATAAATTTTTCTGGGCCTCATTCCCATCTATAAGGTGGTTGGGATGAACACATTGGAGGTTGTTAATTTTAAAAATATGCGTAAAAAATTTTTTTATGAGGGTTTGAAATTTTTTTATACGGTCCCTGGCAACTGGGTGCTACACACCCGTACACAATTTTGAATGGAAAAAATATTTATAACTTATAAACTGGCTTCTAACAATTTGTTTTTACTCATTGTGGGTTAAGTCATTGTGTTACATTTTCAAAGTTTAACTATAAATTAACAATCTGAAGGTATTTGAGTAACAAAAATATCAAACATGATTGAAGTAATCAACTTTAGTAACAAAATAATAGAACATTAACATGTTTTAATAATTTGCACCTCAGAGAGCACAGTTGTTAGTCAAAATTAAAATAACTGGACATTTCCTTTTGCTGGCAGGGAACTTTAGTTTTTTTTTATAATATATGGGCACCCTTTTAGTGGTGTTACATGAGTCACAGGTCCAAAATATTTTAATTCCATACTTATCGGAGTTGCTTGGTATGTATTGGATAAACCTACACCCACCTATAAAATCAACCACTTGCTAATTAGTAATGATCTCTCCAGAAACATAACACCTTTCTAAATTTGAATGGAATATCTACCATAATGGGAGCAAATATACAATGAGCCTGATGGACTGTTAGTTATTGTTGTGAAAGTGAATATGACCCAGAAGGTTGCTGAATCTCTTCATAGAAAATTCTGCCTTCAAAAACTTCCATAAGCAGAACTGAATTGACATACAACTAAATTGTTATTCTGCAGAGTGCCAGTGTCTCCTCTTGCTTTCTCTCCATCCCTGCTAATACTGTCAAATATTGGTTGTATTATTTTTAGTATTCGTGTACAGAAGAAATATTTTGAGTCAGGCTGTTTATATTTTTCCTGGGATAGCACTTTAGGCAGTGGTCTAGTGTACTGTTACTTTGTCTTTCCTGAAAATATTTCTTTTTCTTCACTTTGCACCAGCCGTTTCATTTCATTATGAGTGCCAACTGGTGACACATTATTGATAGTTGAAATGCAGTATATTGGGTAGACCTCGTCATCAGAGCTGCTTGATACTGATGGCTGCCATTGTTCATCTTCTAACTCTGATACTGATGGCTGCCATTCTTCATCTTCTACCTCTGATACTGATGGCTGCCATTCTTCTTCATCTACCTCTGATACTAATAGTTCAGACTCAAAACTTGTTGGTCATTTTCACCTGCTATACTAAAACTGGCAAATATATTCCTTTATCATTAGCACTTGAGTTTAGACAAAAGCGTTCAAGACTTGTTTCTGTTGTGTTCTCAATAGCGTTTGTGACTATTTATAAACCTTACTCTCAGGGTCACAACCTGTAGAACACCCACCCCACTCCCAGTTTGATCAATTAATTGCCCAGTATTAACTTTCAGCAGCATTACAAAGTTGTTTTGCCTTTTTGTCCTCATTTGTACTCCTAATGAGGTTAATGTCAAGTTACTCTAAAAGGCTCAATGTCTCTACCTACATTCCAGAGCTCCCTAAAAGAGTACAAATCACTATATATGTCCTCCCACAGGCAATCTTACCCCTGCATTTCATTAACCTATTGTAACTCTAAACTACAGTTCTGTCTGTAACTGCAAGTCAGAGCTCCAGCAAAGAGTATAAATCACTACATGTGTCCACCCACAGGTTAACTCTTGCTTGAGAATCCCATCAACCTGTAGTTTCATATTACAGCTCTCCCATTGACAACAACATGTCTTGTGTTCCCCATGGCATCTGTGCCCTGAATACCTCAACTGTGTCAGTATTGTTACCCACCCCACAATGAACAAAGAAAAGAATTTACTATAAGAAAGTCTCTGGGTGTGATCCACCCAGTTGCCGGGGACAGGGTACCAAATATGTTGCCGGGGAAAGGGTTAAATAATCTTACAGGGGAGACACATGGGAGGAGGGTGCAGGTAGAAGTAACAACAGGCATTCTAAGCTAGAAGAGTATAAACCTGTGGCTGGTCTAGATGACAGATTTCGTCCCAGTGTCGATAGAGATGGTGAGAGTTAAAAGATTTTGTTTTTATTTCCCCATTTCATATTTGTGTAAATCTATTGTAATATTTAGGCAACCATTTTTCACTGAAGAAATAAGCAGTCATACTTCAATAGAAGCGGCCACCAAAAATATTCGTAATTTTAAAAAAATGTAGCAATTTAGTATCCTAGAGCAAAACCACAAAATTAAGAATCTTAAATTGTACATTACATAGTAACCAAAATTATTGCAAGCTTGGTGTTCTTTTTTAAGCAAGTAAAAAACACAAGCCAAATCTGATTACAAATGTCTTATTTTCTAGTAAAGGAGCCAGATGTATCTCCACAAGAGAAGAACACTAATACTTATGATGAGCTGCAGCGAAGGAACCGCCAAGAGCATGAAGATTCAAAGAAGCAGCAGGTACCACCACCTGGTTCACAGAAAACATGGCCTGACTCTGGTGATAGAGCTCAGCCAGATAATAGAGAAACAGACATCAGGATGGAACCACCACCTTACCAAGCACCCCCAAAAAGTAATTGCTTTTTATATTATTTTCTTATTTGTTTTACAAGAACTGTAGTAGATGAGATATGCTTTGCACTTAAAGCCACATTATTAAGCTATGTTGATATTTTAATATTCATTTGCACAATCCAACAACTGATTTATATGCTAAAGAAAGTGTCTTGAATTTACTTGAAAAAATAAATTGCTGATTATTTTTAATAAAAGTATTTTGGCTTTCTCTTTTTTTTTTCAGGAAAGCGAACTAACAAATGGGGAGATCCAATTGAAGAATAATGTACACTTAATGCTTAGGTGTTCAAATTATGGTAGTGTGCTGTATAAAGCTGAGTTTGTCATTATAGCTGTTGGTACATGAAGCATTAGATCTTGTTTTGTAATTGACTGATGTGTACACAAGAAGCAGAGAGCCCAGCTGATGTTATAAAAATTGACAATTGTTAACAGATTCTAAGTTTATGATTGTGATAATAAGTTGCTTTGAGAACAATAATAGATGATTACATTGGCATGAAAGCTATCGATGAGAGCAATTTAAAAGTACAGTACATCATTGTATAAAATATAGGGCTTTTTTACTATATATTATAATATTTATATATTATAAATCAAAGTTTACATTCAAACGTTATCAATTCAACTTTTCTTGTTGCTTGATTACATTCATATTTTGCTATTTATATTCATATCTGAATTTTTCAAATCTATTATTATTGGATACTAAATAATATAAATCATACTCAAGGGGAAATAATGAGATGTGGGCGCAATGTGAGTAAAAGCTGGTGTTCTCAACTCTGTTTACATATAAATAACATATTACCTAAGCAAAATTTTGAACTATAAAATAACACTAAATATGTCACACTTGTATAAAAGTAACAGTAATAGCTTGATATATATTTAGATTGCAAGAGTTTGATAGGCTTTTAGAATTATCAAATTAATATATACAATACTGTGCTATATTTCCTAAACATTAAAAAGTAGATCTTAAAAAATGCATTTCTTGGTGGAGGTTGGGTTGGTAAGCTCATGGTTGTCAATAAAAAAAAGTCCTGAGTTTGATCTCTGGGCAGATGAGGCTTGATAGCTGGGACAGCCACTCATCTATACATCAATAACAGCCCTTAAACCATTTGAATAATTGCTCGAATCCAGTAGATATAAATATTCATAATAGACTTACAACATTTCAACACTCCATTATCCTGACAGAGATATCTTTTTACAAAACAACTGAGATAAATAAAAAAAAACTATTGCAAAGTCAATTTCAACAATAAATTCGTATTTAATATCATGCAATGGTGACATCACATTCAACTATGTCCAGTGGTGGACATTAACACATTCACCTTTTTCTATTGCAGTTTCCCCATAAGGGGACATTTTTTGAAGCTCAATCATTGTCTTAAACGCGTTTAGTAGCTTTAGAAGAGGAAGGTTCTGGTTATAGGGCTGGTAAGTAGGTCACTAACCAGCTCTATGGTTCAATAAAACCTGCATGAGCCATAGAGCTGTTTATTGACCTACTTACCAGCCCTAAAAGTTATTGGAAAAATCTGTATTGTGGGGGGGGGGGGGGGGGGGGGGGGAGAGAATGGTGTGCTATCACCAATGGACGACGTTTTTTTTTTTATATAGCCTACCTACCTGTTCTTGTTTTACCTCTTCATATGTTGTCTTTTACTATGGTGGGATGTCTTTAAATAAAATTTGTACAGTCCTAATCCTAAAGGTAAAATGTAGACATATTAGGTATTAATAGTATTATCATTTTAACAGATATAAGCAAGGTGATACAATTGATCTTTTTTTTTCAACAGACATTTCTTTTTCCATATAGATCTAGGTAGATGCGAAAGAGACGGACCATAAATATTGACAAAGCTTGCAAAAAAAAAAAAAAAAAAAAAAAGCTCTTTAAACGTTCTGAAAAAGAAAACAAACTTCTCTAATTGGTTAAAGCATTAGTCGCTAAAATGTAAAATGTTTAAGAGATTTTAAGAGCGACCATATAATCGTACTGTAATTTGAATCTAGGCCTACCAGTGGCGTCGCTAGGTCGGATGTACCCGGTGCGGCACTTTGTAATGTCACCCCCCCCCCAAAAAAAATCAAAGTATATATATATATATATATATATATATATATATATATAAATGTGTGTGTGTGTATGAGTGTATATGTTATTGTTAATAAGCTTTGATCAGTGCAGACTTAATAGTAACGATGTTTATCTATAGTCTGTTAATAATACAATTGGATGTAGCATTGTTTTCTCTACTGTTAGCACGTTTATGTCTTGGTGTCACCCCCCCCCCCCCCCCCCCCATTTAGTACTTAAAAGACTATTTAACTTAATTAATCATTAATAGAACGGGCAAAAAGGATTTTTCTTCTGTACATTTTGCAATTTTTTGCCATGGTGTCACCCGGTGCGGTCCGCACCCCCTACCCCCGCCCTTGCTTCGCCTCTGAGGCCTACCATAAATGGATGAACTCACAAGCACTATTATCTTGTACTTCCGTGTTCTAGTAATGTCCGGGATATGCTAATCGAATTTTCTCATAGATATATTTATTAAAAACATGAAGATAGCCTACCTCTTGAAGTTTTTACTTTCTCCTATATACGAAGTATAGAGAAAGTATTGTAATCGTGCAAAAAAAAAATCGAGATTTTTTAAAAATCTCGACGTTTTACAGCACACTGATACGGAAAAACATACTTTTGCAATCTTGTCCGTATGTCTGTTTGTGGTCATGGAGGATGTGATGGGATATCCATTGGTTAGGATATCTAAAAAAACAACATCTCATAAATCCAAGGAAATGACTTCAACGGCGAGCATGGGGCGCTATAACTCCAAACCCGGGCAGATGGGGCTCGTTAGCTGGGGACAGCAGCCCATCTAGGAGAGACAACTCCAAAATCGAACAGCTACTGCCTTGTAGTTTGTTCTTGGGTGATCAAAGGCTATGGAAGCAAATCCAGAATGAAAAGCAGGCTGAAGTCGGAGTCAACGGGCCATCTAGTATGGCGCATAACATGCTGGCACGCACTGCTTAATTTTATGATGGAGGAAAGAAATAGGACTAACAGAAGTGGCGTCCTGCCTGTGGAATCCCGACGCGCAGGTAGGGGGCCGGGCTCTCCGCCTCGAAGGAGCCCACAAAAGCGAGCTGGTGGTTCCTCTATTCTTGCCTTGCCAGCCATGGGCAAGGATCAGAAGGTAAATTCTACTGGCCAAAATGGTGAGAAAAAACAACAAATTACTTGTTATCCTGCAGTGGAATGCAGAGGGAGTTCATAAAAAAAAGGAAGCCTTAAAAATATTCCTACATGAAAATAAAGTAGACGTTGCTTGTATTCAAGAAACTCACCTCAACAACAATCTTCGCTTCTCTATTAGAGGATACACCTGCATAAGGCAGGACAGGGAAAACAGACCAAAAGGAGGTATCCTCATTCTCATAAAAAAATGACATACCAACAACAGATATAGGTATACCAAACTCAACAGCATCTGAGATAATGGGCACCAAACTCATACTTGCAGAAGGTAACTTAAATATCTTCAATTGCTACTGTCATCCTGATAAGCACCTGGAACTGGACCGCATCTCCCTGCCAAACAGCGAAGAGAGCCTGGTTGTGGGAGACATGAACAGCCACTTCCAGAGCTGGGGTTACCCTGACCTCAATGTTAAAGGAGAGGAAATTGAAGAATGGCAAGCAGAAAACAGGCTCATCCTTCTAAATAAACCTGATGACAAACCAACTTTTTACTCAAGGTCTTGGTTAACCTCGTCTACCCCCGACCTAGCTTTTGCTACCAATGGCATATCCAAAAATTGCAAAAGAGAAGTTGCAGATCAACTAGCCACTAGCGACCACCGACCAATCCTGATCCAGATAGAAACATCAAACAGGCCAATTGAAGCCTACCCCCGCCCTAGATGGAACTACAAAAAAAGCTAATTGGGAGCTCTTCTCTGCTCTCACAGACTCCTTCACAAGACCAATCAACTGTAAAACCAAACAGGTGAACAAGTCATACACAGCCTTCTCAAAAGCAGTTCTGTTAACAGCCAAAAAATCTATTCCAAGGGGAGCAAGGAAAAATTATATCCCAAACTGGACTCCAGACCTCCAGATACTCCATGACGAGACAATTGATGATAGAAACACTGTTGAAGAAAATCCCACTGTAGAAAATAACATAAAATTAAAATCAGCAAACGCAGTCTTTAGAAAAAAGTATCTAACTGCATTGAGGAAAAGCTGGCAAGAATAAACAGAACACCTCAATGTAGATAGAGATGGTCACAAACTATGGAGTATTGCAAAAAGGCTAAACCAAGAAGAAAACAGAGCTACTCCCATAGTCATCGACATTGAAAACACGATCAAAACCCAAAAGGATGCAGCAAAAGAATGTATAACCCACTTCAGCAAAGTGGGACAAATAAATATCAGCCACCAAAGAGTAGAAGAGGTTAAAAATCAAACTGAAGAAAAAGAAAAACTACAGAAAGTCTCTCCCACCTCCTCCACTGGAATGGTAGCTCGAATTAGCAAAAAGGAGCTCGGAGAAGCAATGAAGCTCCTCAAACTTAAGCAAGCTCCAGGCCCTGACAAAATCACAAATGATATGCTCATGCACCTGGGCCCCAATGCTAAGAAAAAACTGCTCCAAATATTTAATGCAAGCTGGAAATCTGGGAAAATCCCAAATATTTGGAAAAAAGCAATCATGATACCTGTTCTAAAATAGGAAAACCCAAGAACAAAGTCGATAGCTATCGCCCAATAAGTTTAACAAGCTGCGTTTGTAAACTGATGGAAAGAGTGGTAAACAACAGACTGACCTGGTTTCTAGAATCGAACAATCTACTAGCAGACGGACAGGCAGGCTTCAGGAAGTGCAGATCTACTGAAGACCAAATCACCTTCATTTCTCAGGAAATAGAAGATGGCTTTCAAGAAAAAAAAACCAACATCAATAGTGTGGGTCGACTTTGAAAAAGCCTTTGACAAGGTCTGGGAGCAAGGCTTAATTCTAAAGCTAATAAACCATCAAGTATCTCATAACATGCTAAACTGGATAAAAGGTTACCTAAGCAACCGAAAAGCATCAGTCTCCATGCAAGGAAAAAGAAGTCACACTGTAACTATAAAAAATGGAGTCCCTCAAGGAGGAGTCTTGTCTCCTACTCTCTTTCTCATTTATATAAATGACTTAAATGAAAACATCCCAAGGAGAGTAAAAAGAAGCATGTTTGCAGACGACCTTTCACTAATCAGCACAGAGGAATATATTGGTACCTCAAAATTTCGTCTTCAAGAAACACTTGACAAGCTCGGCAAATGGACCAAAAACTGGGGCTTATCCATCAATACCAAGAGAACTACTTATTCAATCTTCACCTTATCAATTAAACATCAAAAAATGAAACTTACCCTAGAAAACCAAGAGCTAGAAAAAAATGACCACCCCAAATACCTAGGAGTCACTTTTGACATTCGACTTACCTGGAGAAAACAAATAGAAAACACACAAAGT